AATATAATGAGCTGTCACAAGAATAATTTTGCTGTCGGACGAGTGGCTTAGAAATAACAGCAGTCTGAAGTTAGTTGCAGTTTTTTCATCTCACCCTGTTTTTGACTTGAGTTAAGATTATTCCGATTGTTGACCCGTGGATTAGTCCAATATTTTCAATTTGGTATCTAACCTAAGTTTCATATAAATATTTTCACTTGTCAGATTTGGACTCACTTTATATGTTTCTGGCCCGTAGTTTGAAACGTTATTGCAAATCCAACTTTGGTGAAGAATATATGATTAGACACCAGGATGCCAAATAAGACCAAATCAAATAAAAAATCTATACAAGAAACAGGAAAAATTGAGGGTTATACCAAGCCAAAGGTGTCAAAGGAAAAAACTCTATCTTAGAATTTGTGTACTGCTAAGACGATAATTGCTGGTTTGTTTCGCAAGTCAGTGAGGAAATGCAGGAAGGATGCCCCGATACACACCATCTTCATTAGGAAACAAGTTAGCAAAGGCTACAGTCGAGCGGGGCCGACCGTTGAATACCCTACAACGCTATAATAAATGATAAGTTTATATAGGTCAGATACTCGAAAGAATTCCACAAGATATTGTGACAAATAATAAAAGAAAACCATCAGGTTTCGTTCTAATTTTCGAATAATAGAAACTTGAACTAATTTGCTCATTTCCAATTTATAGGTAGATGTTGCACCTAAATGGTCTTCCTAGATCTGGAGCCAATATTTCCCAAAGACCTATAATCTCTCAGAAATGGCAAAAGATTAACATTTATTACTGGTTTTTGACTTAAACGCATCTATATGAGATACAGACATTTGACTATATTCTTCAACGAAATCAGCGTTAACGAAATAGTCGGAAGTGCGTCTTTCCTGTATTTGTGAATGCTCCAAAAAGTCACTGGAATGGACATTTTCGTATTTTGTCTACAAAGGATGGCAAACTATTTCACACATTGAATATTTTTAGATGGCCATCCAAAACTGCTTGGCTTTTGCAATGTCCAGTAACCCCCATTCAAATGTGCGTGAAGATCGGGCGATAATTACGACCTGCCGATAATTTTGCAGTTTTTTGGTCCATTTCAACCCCTAAATATATGGCGATCATCTCCAAAAAAGTAGACTTCTATTCTGACCCTCATCTTATCCCCATGCAAAATTTCGTAAGGATCGGGCCATAAATGCAATCTGTATATTATATCCTGAAATCCTAACTACTTAGTTTTGTTTGCTGTAGAAATATTACCAAATGTTTAATTCAAAATGAAACCAGTAAGGAAAGCTCAAAAGTCGGGCGGGGCCGACTATATGATACCCTACACCACTATGCATATTTAGTAGAGCTCTGGTAAAAAGGTTTATACAGGGCATTTCAGAGCTCTATGAGATATTGGGTACAAAATCAAAATCTATCTAATTCTATCGTGCATTTTACGAACTATAGCTATCTCTGAACCGGGTTTCTCCAAATTTTACGTATTATCTTCTAGACTGGTGATTTGGGCTGATATCGGCCATTTGGTGCACAATTAACCCGAAATCGGATGAAGATATATATGGGAGCTATATCCAAATCTTAACCGATTTCGATAAAATTACAAACAGCTATTTCTGGGCTGTATCTTATATCTGGTACCAAATATCATTCTTGTGGAGTGCATATTACGAATGTGAGAGGCTTAAACACCAAATCGGATGAAAGATATATATGGGAGCTATAGCTATATCTGAACCGATTTTCTCCAAATTTGATATACTTGCTTCTAGGCCGAACTCTGTTGGGTGTGCCAAAATTCAGGTAATTTGGACTGATAGTGGACATTTGGTGCACATTTAACCCGAAATCGGATGAATATATATATGGGAGCTATAGCTGTTTCTGAACCGATTTTCTCCAAATTTGTTGTATTTGCTTTAAGGCTAATCTCGGTCACATGTGCCAAAATTCGGGCCATTTGGGCTGATATTGGCCATTTGGTGCACATTTAACCCGAAATCGGATGAAGATATATATGGGAGCTATATCTAAATTTGATCCGATTCTCACCAATTTCAATAGGGTTCGTCCTTGGGCCAAAAAAATATTGTTTGGAAAATTTCATCTCAATCGGATAATAAATGCGACCTGCATTTTGTTCACAAGAATACATGGACAGACGGACGGACGGACGGACGGACAGACGGACTGACATGCATACATCGACTCAGAAAGTGATTCTATGAAGGTTCTCAAAAGTAACTATGGGTCTATCTCGTTTCCTTCTCCATGTTACAAACAAATGCACAAAGACATAATACCCTTACCACTATGTGGTGTAGGGTATAAATATGCCAAAAATATGACAAAATTGAAAACATATGAGAAAATTTTACAAAATCAATATTTTCATCTTTAGAGAGACATTTTTATGCGTTTTTTAGACGTTTTTCCTCTCCTGCCAAGAGGCCATTCTGAATTAATGAGAACTGTCGAAATCAGTTCAGCCGTTCTCGACATATAAGAGATCTTTCAAGCATATCTTCTTTGATAGACATATATATCGCACATATTTTGCTATATATCCGATTTGATGGATGTTAACATGAATGTAAAGATCAGAAGTAACCTTATCATGGCTTTTGATTTCGCCGGGATTTAAAATATTCGCGGTTTAATGAAAAATTTTGAATTTTTTCAACACAAACGATATGGTATATTTTACCCGCTAAATATTATCCGATGACCACCCAAATTGGTAGGCTTCTTCCCCGCCCTAAACTCTAGCTACATGCGCAATTCCGCGTCGATTGGTCTATAATTGCAAAATCAGGAATTTTTTCAGTTTTTGGTCCATTTCAACCCCTAAATATTATGCGATCATCTTCAAAAGAAATAGGGTTATATTCTGACCTTAACCCCACCTACATTCTAAAATTTCGTGAAGATCGGGCCATAATTGCGACCTGTAGAGTGATTACAAATTAACATGGACAGACGGACAGACGGACGGACGGACATACATAGCTAGATCGACTCAGCTCGGCGAGCTAGGAAGATCCATATATACTTTCCTATGTGGGAAACCAATATTTCGAGGTGTTACATAATTTCTGGCCCAATCAAACTTATAATACCCCCAACACATAGTGTTGTAGGGTATAAAAATATTGGAATGTGTAAAATTTAAAGATAATGGGATGCTTATTTCGCTTTTATTAGCGTTTTGTCCTCCTTTGAAGGGGAGGGGCAAAAGGAGTGGTCCGCTATATCCCATCTTCCCACCAGATCATGTGATGACAGAAATATTAGGATATGCGAAATGTGATAACTGGACTTTTATTTCACTTTTTATAAGAGTCGATTGCCCATTTTTGGGCATTTTTGGGGGTATTATAAGTTTGATTGGGCCAGAAATTATGTAACACCTCGAAATATTGGTTTCCCACATAGGAAAGTATATATGGATCTTCCTATCTCGCCGAGCTGAGTCGATCTAGCTATGTATGTCCGTCCGTCCGTCTGTCCGTCTGTCCATGTTAATTTGTAATCACTCTACAGGTCACAATAATGGCCCGATCCTCACGAAATTTAGAATGAAGGTGGGGCTAGGGTCTGAATAGAACCCTATTTCTTTTGGAGATGATCGCATAAGATTTAGGGGTCGAAATGGACCAAAAACTGAAAAAATTCCTGATTTTGCAGTTGCTCTACAGGTCGCAGTTATAGACCAATCAAAGCGGAAGTTAGCATGGGGCTAGAGCTTAGGGCTGGGCAGAAGCCTTCCAATCTTGATGGTCATCGGGTAATATTTAGTGGGTTAAATAGGTCACAACATTTGTGTTAAATAAAAGTAAAATTTTCCATTAAACCGCGAATATTTTTAATCCCGGCGAAATCACAAATAGACGAACAGGTCAATTCTGACAGTTACGTAGATGCCGATAATAACTATATCGGTTATATATAGCGAAACATATACAATACGTATATACAAAGGAAGGGGATGTTAGTTAAAATGCTTATATCTACCGAATGGCTGTGCCGATTTTGACAAATTTTGTCAATTCAGAATACCCTCTTGGCAAAAAAATATAAAATCTAAAAAAATCGCAGAAATAATTAATTAATATAGATTTTGTAGTATTTTGTGACATTTTTTTACAGGCGATAACCGAAATACACAAGAAGCGAACTTCTGGCTTTTTTATGCCGATTTCGCTGACGAATATAGCCAAATACCGTAGACAAGAAAATCATACAGATGAGTCAAAATTTGGAGATACAGATTGGCCTCCTGCTTTTGGAGATGATCGCAAAATATTAGGGGTTCACATGAACCAAAAACAGAAAAAAAAAATCATGATCCTACAATTGAAGCCATTCGACACGCCTGAGAAGAGCGTTAAGGACAGGGGAGAATTCTAGCATTTTGGATGACCATGGAATTATATTTAGCTCTAAAATGGACCACAACAACTAACAGCACGACGGAGTGCGTAAATATTGGGCAAATATCCCTGGTCAGAATGCTGAGGGTAACATCTGGGCTGTGCACCGCGAAATCTTCCAAAATAAATTTTTGGACATTAAGGGGCTTCTAACATATTGTTGTGTTGTAGGGTATCACATGGTCGGTCCCGCACGGCTATAGCCTTTGCTTACTTGTTTCACCTGGTAAAATGTGCCAAAACGCATTTATTCCAAATATACCCAAGATCTTGAACCGTTATTTTATATTAATTTTTCAATAATATTCTATTGCAAGACAATTTTAATTACATTGCCCTTCCTGTACAGATGTAGTGGCGTAGGGTATCACAAGTTTAGCTGGAACTGAATACATATGTTTGTTGATATTTAAATTGTTTATAAACAACTTGTTATCAACTTAAATTACTACACACTGACATACATTTAGATCAGAATGTATCACAGAAACATTTCCAACTGATAACATTTAACTTTAAATCCACTTCTAATGAATTGAAAAACACTAATCTTTTAATTTAGTTTCAAATCTAATCTAAAGCGACGAACAACATGAAATTAATTTTTGCTTTTGTCTTTTCGCTGGTCATTGTGGCTTTTGCTCAAGCTGGTGTCTTTACTGAGCGATCTTTTCGTGATGACAAACATCCGGGCAAATGTGTGGTACAAGGCAAAGTTGTGAGTCCTGGCCAAAGTATAAAACATCCCACTATGGATTGTACCGAATTCAGCTGTGACAATGCCAATGGCATGGCAACAATTGAAACGTAAGCATTCCGCAAGAAATTGTCCAAAAATTTACCCATAAATTTCTCGGCTCATATTTTTATATATTTCATTTTCACCATTTTCACTTTTGTTTGCAGCTGTGATCCGATATCTGCTCTAGCATCACCTTTGGGAAAACTAAAAGATTATGACCGTGCACATCCACCCACATGCACATGGGGTGACTTTAAGGATACAAAGGCACCATTTCCGCAATGCTGTGAACGTCATTTCACATGTGTGTTCTAGGAATCAGCTTTGCGGGCTGGAAGGAATGTGTAGCGGGGTGTGATGATAATTAAAATGGTGCTAGAATGTACGCGTTTATAACAATGTAATAAAGTTAAACATTTAAGTGAAAAAACTATTTTAGAAATATATTATAATATCACGGATTTATGAGGAGTAAATTGCTAGTTCTAAATATTTAATTTACTGTAGGGAATTATCGTGGAACTACAATGTTTTTTTTTTTTTTTTCTTTTTCAAGAACTGTCAATATGGCAAAACTGAATTTTACGCAATGTTGTTTTCAGAATATATTTAGATTTTCAGTGAACTGTGAGAGGAATTTTAATGAATATTTAAAAAAAAAATTAAATATTAAACAAATTGATTATTAATACTTAATCAAAATGTAAAACCTTAATGGGGAATTACAGTTTGGAGTGGGAAGGAGTAGAAATATTGGGATATGCGAGATTTCAAGACAATTGGATTCTTATTTCACATTTTATAAGCGTTGAGTTTATTCAAAATGTTGATCCTTTGTGAGGCAGGTACTTGATAAGGGTGGATCTATACTATTCATTTCCGCACCTAACCTAGCACAAATACAAATATTAGGACTTGCATAGTTTGAACAAAATCGGATGATCCTTTCTGTGAGATAAATTCTAAGTTTGATAATAATATTACTATGTAATAATTTCGAATTAAATCAGATGCTCCCTTCGAGAATTATCGTGCGCACCAGCCAGCAGACATAACGACGGACGGACAACGCTAGATCGATTCCAAATGTCCTGAAACGTATTTGGTCCAAAGAGATATAGAGGCTAATACTGCTATTTCAATAAGTCACGTTTTGGCTGTATCAAATGAAGGTATAATCAGTAAAGAAAGTCCTAAAGTCGGGCGGGGCCGATTTTATGATACCCTACACCACTTTGCTAATTTAGTTGAGCTCCACTTAATAATTAAACGTTTTTATGGGAGAATTTAATCATACACGCTATGATTATAATTATAATTTAAAATTCAAAGGACTAAATATGACAAAGCATTTGTATCTTTTAAATTCGGACTTGTATTGCCCATTTGGTGCAAAATTAATTTGAAATCAGATAAAGATATATATGGGAACTATATCCAAATCTGAACCGATCTCGATAAAATTTGGCAAAGATATTTTTGAGCTGTACTTGATATATTTCCCTGAATATCGTTGTTACGGAGTGCATATTACGGCTGTAGGTAACAAATACAACAACTCGGATGAACAATATATATGGGAGCTATAGCTATATCTGAACCGATCTTAACCAAATTTGGCATACTAACTTCTAGACTAAATTCGGTCCTATGTGCCAAATTCCATCCCATTTGGGCAAAAATTAGACGTTTGGAGCACAATAAAAGGTAAATCGGACGAAGTTATATATGGGAGCTATATCCAAATCTGAACCGATCTCGATAAAATTTATCAAAGGTATTTCTGAGCTGCATTTGATATATTTCCCCAAATATTGTTGTTACAGAGTGCATATTACGGCTGCGGAGGACAAAAATAACAAATCGGATGAACAATATATATGGGAGCTATAGCTATATCTGAAACGATTTCGATCAAATTTATCATACTTATTTTCAGACCTAATTTGGTTGTATGTGCAAAATTTCATACTATTCGGGCTGATATTACACGTTTGGTGCAGAATAAAAGGCAAATCGGATGAAGATATATATGGGAGCTATATCTAAATTTTTACCGATTATCTCCAATTTCAATAGGGTTCGTCCTTGGGCCAAACAAATGTTGTTTGGAAAATTTCATCTCAATCGGATAATAAATGCGACCTGCATTTTGTTCACAAGAATACATGGACAGACGGACGGACTGGCGGACAGACGGACTGACATGCATAAATCAACTCAGAAAGTGATTCTATGCAGATCATCAAAAGGAACTATGGGTCTATCTCGTTTCCTTTTGCCTGTTACAAACAAATGCACAAAGACACAATACCCTGACCACCTTGTGTTGTAGGGTATAAAAATTATATCCTCTCCTCACACTACATTAGGTTATGTTCTCAATACATGTTGCAGTTGACCCCTTATTTAAAGATTATTAAAATGTAGAATGAATTTAGAAAACAAGTTAACCAACGCGAAATTATACAGGGTGAGATGAAAAAACTGCAACCAACTTTAGACTGCTGTCATGTCAAGAAAACAGCAACACCAGCAGAAATGGTTCGAAAAGTAAAGAAGGGACTTTATCGAAACCCGCGTCGCAGTGGCCGAAAAATGGCTCGTGAGCTTAACATATCGCAATATTCCATTCGGCAAACATTGAAAAATGAGCTCGGGGTAAAGCCATTGAAATTCCAAAAAGTGCCATAACATACACCGCAACAGAAAGAAAATAGACTCAAAAGAGCTGAAGAGTTGCTTCGCTTGGCCGAAAGCGGCGAACTGCCGAATTTAGTTTTCTCCGATGTGAAAACATTCCTTGTCCAGCAGTTTATAAAGAAATGTAATGATCGTGTTTACTTGCCAAAAATTCGGCTGAAAATGTGCATGTGCAAATGTTGGCCACCAGAACTCAAGCGCCGGCCATGGTGATGGTGTGGGCCGCATTAACAGCCGATGGTCGCTCTCCGCTCCGCATCAGAATAAATGTCGAATGTTATTGCGAAAATATTCTGGAGGTTATATTAAAGCCTTGGGCACGCAAACATTTTGGCCGCAGACTTTGGACATTACAACAGGACTCAGCACGCTCAGCACGCTCTCAGGAACCTCATTTTGTAACCATTCTTGGTTACAAAATGAGGTTCCTCGCTTCATTTCCAGCGCACAATGACCACCAAAATCTTCGGATAACAATCCATTAAACTATTGTGTTCGGAATATTTTAGAAAACAAGGTGGGCACTAAAAAAATACCACCCCAGAATGGTTACAAAATGAGGTTATTCGCTTCATTTCCAGCGCACAATGGTCACCAAAATCTCTGGATACCAATCCGTAGGACTATTGTGTCTGGAGTAATTTGGAAAGCAAGGTTGGCACTAAAAAATACCAAAGTGTCGATCACCTCAAGCAAGCGCTTCGCCGGGAATGGGCCAAAATACCACAGAAGAACATTCGGGCAGCGTGTGACAGCGTGTTTCTACCAACTATAAATCTTATCTCCATACGGAAGATATCGGTCCTCTCCTTCTGATACCTGCCACACAGAGGGTCAACATTTTGAATAATAACATGTAAAACAAATCAGCAATTATCCTCATATTTAGATTATATAATTATTACTCTCACACAGAGATCTTATGGGATATGACATTAGCGTATAAAACCCAAGTAATTTTAATCCGAAAACTTCTCAACCGCAAAAAAACATATTTACCTTAAAACTAAAATTTCATTGTACTAACAAACTAATTTTTGCCGTTTCCGGTCATCTTAATAACGTAGGTTGGTCACGTATGAATTTCGGTTTTTTTCTCAGGAGAATGCAAAATTTCTTGGAAGTTCTTAATAATATTGGAATATATTGGGTGTCCGGTAAAAACGTTATTAACAGAACTGTCTTCAACTGTCAACTGTCTTCTACGGAATTACCGTTAATAGAATTCTGTCCATTGGGTTTTGTTGAGTGTCTTCAAAGCGCATTTTTCCTTTTTGCAAATATTTCTAATGAAGAATTTATTTTTAGCAAACACTTCCACTTCCTTCCTGCATTCATTCAATTCACATTATTGCAAACTCAATATAAAATAATTAATATTTTGTGTATACATCACTCCGGTCCATTGTCAGTTCATTAATTTCCATTTAACATTCGACGAACCTAGGAGGAGCAAATTATTCGCAGTTGATTTTGTTTCCTCCAATGGCAATTGTGCGTGTCCATTAATAATTAATTACTTTGATGTTATTCTTTGTGCGCGTGTGTGTGTGTGAGTGTTCGTCTGTGTGTGAACGTGTGTTATACTAATTGTCGACATCGACAATAGACAACATTGTTGGTCTGGTGTGTTGAGTTTGACTGGATAATCTTAATTATTTACATTCAATAGCCATTTAGGCACTTTGGTATTGTTGAGAAAATATGAACATTGAACTAAAATTGTGGGTATAAGACATATCAGATATATAAGTTCCAATTGTAGAAATGAATAACTCATTAAAATGTTAATATGTAATGCACTACCAGTAGGCTGAAAGTAATGAGTTATTCCTAAATTAATTACCGAGTTATGAGATACATCGGAATAGAGAGAGGGAGAAAAATAAATAAAGTATAATAGTTGTAAAATATTACTAAATTGCATATATTTCGCAGTAATCTTAATACTGACATTCACAATTCTATCTCTTTTTTCCTGCTTTAAATATTTTTGTACAATCTATAGAAAATTTAATACAATTTAGCCCTACTATGCATTTTGTATCATATATGAGACAACCACGTTTTTTTCATTTTTTACATATGTTATCTCCAAAAAATTGGTAAAAGTCGCCATAATAAGTAAGACGACATATCAACGAACAAGATCAAAGAAGAATTGAAAGCTTATGCGATAATATGTATTCTGAAATAACAGTTGTTTTGTGACATACGCTGAAAAAGCACGTGTAATTTACAAGCAGTTATAAATCGTACGTTTTACTGTAGGTACTTCTGAAATCAGAGATTTAGTTTATATATCTTATTTGTAGTTTAGTATTTTTCATTATTAAGTTTGAGAATTTGAGAAATTTTATATTTTAGTAGTCAATAAGTAGTTTATTTCGGTTGTGCCATATATGATACATTATGCGTTTAGGAATAAAATAATGGTTGTAGCATATATGATACAACCACATATGTATATGCAATTTCACAGTAAAACACGTTTAAACAATTGTTTTTAGCTATAAACCATGTCATTTAAATCTAAATATTTAAATGACGAAATGATAACTAATTTAGTTAATCAATTTTCCGAGAGCGAAGATGATTTAGATGATAATAGTAGTGATGAGGAAGAATTTTCAAAAAACTTTAATCCTACGATAAGAGGATCACACACCGAGTTACCCGGGGATAATACAGAACCTAACGATGATATAGACGATTTCGATATAAATGATT